TGGCCCAAAATCACCCAGTGGGCTTCCATACCTAAGGGACAGCTGGAGAACTAGAATCTGGGTCTCCCTGTTTCTAGTCCAGCACCTTAACTTGCTCTCACATGTGTGTATGTGTGTGTATGCACACACTCCTGTACTGTAGAGGGAAAACAAAAGGACAGAGATAAAGCGGGAGGCAAGAGTTGAAGGAAAGGATGAGATTCAAGTTAAATATTGCCAGTGGTTTAATTTGTAGAACAGTTAAGGGTAACCAAAGCTCCTCGTTGAAATAAGATATTAGACCAGAATTTGAAGGCGATTGGGAAACCTAATCTAAGGGAAGTTCCTGATAACCCTGACCCAACAGCTGGTATCAGTGGTTTTGTAACTTTTGCCTCCTCACCTCCCTCCTGCCATAGTTGAAGGACAGGAAAGGAAATGGGATTCTATAATTGGTTCTGCAAGTCCTCTTTTTGTTCTTTAACAACAGATTGACCTAAGTTATGCCTGCAATGCTTTGTAAGATAAAAGCCAACTTGTATCTTACAACTCATGCGTATTTTTCTGTGAAATTCATTCAGTACTCTTTCAAGTGCTGACTAGATCACAATTTGTTTTGGATTCGGAAAAGTTACATGATGTGGAAGATGCTAGACTGATGCATAGGTTTAGTGTCTCCCTATTAAACTTTAATTGAATGATGTCAATTAACCTCTCACCTCTTGAAATATGGCCTGCCCTGCTAACTGGGTTGTAATTAAAAAAACAAAGATTATTTCATGATATTTCATGGTAGCATTTGATCACATATTATGCATAATCCTTTAAATCCTTCCTACTCATTGGAGAGTTGTGCTTTCAGATTCAACAACTATATATGTGCCCCCCCCGCCACACACACACATACGCACACCCTTTTCCAATATTTTGTTAGGTTCCAGGTGTTTAGCAAGGTAGTGCTTACAGTACTTTCAGTTAAGCTTTCAAATTATTTGATGTCTGTGTGGTTTGGAGAATGGCAGCCACACAGACTGCATTTCCAAACAGCCCCAGGCTATCCATATTTTGCGGTTTCTATGAAAGGAATTGCAAATATGCTCTCACATTTTCTAAAAGAAAACAGCCCTACATATTGGCTTAGGTGAGCTGGAAATCATGACACTAAACAATTAAACATATTCCACACAAATTTTAAGTGAACTTAAAAACTATGTAAATCATACATTCCCCACTTACTATTTTTAATTTCTTTCATTGTCTGAGATGCTGAGGACAAAGGACAGAAATAGACATTTTCTTCTGTAGAAAATATACAGAGATAAAAATACTTATATTAGAAGGTGAATTCATTTAGATAAAGTTCTACTATACAGCCTGTGTTGAATGTTCAAGTACTGTTCTAAAGTTGACAAAATTGCATTATTTTGAAATAATTGCAACTTATCCCCACCACTGTGAGCAATCCTATGCCTTCTTCTATGGAAATTCTGAAAAATTTAATAGGATTCCCTTCTGAGCAGACAGGACCCTTTGTTGTGAGAGGTAGAGGTCAGTTCTAAGGAGGCTTGAGTAGTCGAATCATTGGCTAAATTACTCCATTAAAATGGGTTGGCCTATACTAGATATGAAATAAATTCTGGTAATAGATTAAGCATTTTGAAAATGGGCAAATGAAATGTCAACCTGTAATTTTCTACTTTCCTAGAAAAAGGTCTAAGATTACAATCCCCAGCTTTTTATTTAATCCAGCTGCTTGTTCAAAAGTCTATTGGCTGTATCAAGAATCCCAGCCAAATGAAATAAACAGGGTGACCCAGACACTTCCCTCACTGTATAGCTGTTCACCACTTTAAAGCGATTCAGTTGCTGACGCATCTTCTGTCCCACGTGTGCCCAGATAGGGCCTAAGGAAACTATGCAGTTAACCACAAGAGAGCTGCCCCCAAAGTAAAATTGCAGCCTTCAATTTGGAACCAGGCAAATACATGGTTTTATCTAAAATGTGACCATTTCTCATGAGTTATTTCAGGACAAACATGCTTTCTCAGAGTTAAAGATAAGCATTTTGTCATACACTCACCCCATCTCCTGATCCATCATTCTGATTTTCACATTTTTAGGAAGACGTAGACTGAATTTGGAGATTTTTTTTTCTAAATTGATTTCAACGAATTTGGTGCCAATGACACATTTTCTAGGAAACATGCACACACACACACACACAGAGCCAATAAGCATAAACCTGTGCCTCTACCTCATACCTGTTCCCTTTCACTGGAGGGCACAAATTATATGCCATGAGGTACTCCCTAAGGTAGCCTGCCGCCTTTGATTGTAGAAGACAGAACTACTTCTACGCTGTCTTTACTTTACTTCTGGCTTCATTATTGGAGCATGAAAGAGTCACAATACTTTTATCACAATGCCTTAGTTGGCTTCTTTGCATTCATGCATGCAAAAAGGAAAAAGAAAGAAATAACATTGTGTAACTATTACTAGAATTGTCACCTAAAGGATGGAAGCTAGGCCCACTTCTTTCCACACCATATGGTGAAGAAAACGTACTGTGACAGCCCAGTTCCCTCCTCCTTATTCCCAGCCAGAAGATAATTTTTTCTGGCTAATTCTATTATAGCTTGGATTAGAGATAGGCTGCTATCTCAACAAAGCAACTTGCCTCCATAAAGAACAGAGATATTAAGTCAGATGCCCAATTACATCAACTTAGGAAACCAGTAAAAGGAACAAGGATGCACGGAAGACATAAAAAGATAGAAGAGAAAGGATAACTAGGAACAAATGCAAGCAAGTAGGAAGAAAATTAATCATTTTAAAACTGTTAATTTCCTTGTGAACAGACTGTTCTTGTTTAAAGAACTAAGCACATGCACACCCCAATATCCTTTGGTTATAAGGGGTACAAACTCCCCCCCCCCCCCGCATTATGCTGTTGTTGCTGGAAACCAATAATTCACAGCTAATGGAAAGTTGCTGATTAAATGTCATTCTCCCTGCTACTTTGGGAGGGAGGGAGGAAAAAGCAGTCTTGATTAACGGTCACCCATTTGCAGCAAATTTCCTTTCATACAAAGAAAGTTACTTTCTTTGGAGGCTCTGTGCTCACTCCCTCAGCCAGTACAATTTTCCCATGTATATGGGAAATTGTGGAAATTGTGGAACTTCTTTCCTTCCTACTTGGTATGTATGCATGTACACACACACACACACACACACACACACACCCCAAGTAGGAAGGAAAGAAGTTCCACAAGGATAACCTTTCTTTTGATATCATGATCTATACTGCTTGTATCAATTTTCATTTTTATTTTACTGTAGTGACCTTACAATAGAAAAGTGGTCTGTCATGTAGAACAATTCCAAGTTGTCACATTGTCTCTCATTTCAATGCAATGTAAAAAAGCAACATTTCTTTCAGACTGGGTTTTTTAGGTGGAGGTGTTAGGAAAGCGGAGGGAGAAGAGATCAATTTTTGATTTTCTAGATAGTAGACGAATCAGATGGGTTCCCTAAATAATAATGCATAGCAAAGGTTTGTTTTTTACTTTATTTTGAAATGTAATCGATTTTTTAAAAATAAATCAGTGTAGATGTTTAATTGCATGTTTTATTTAGTGAAACATGGTAAGAATGACTCTCTTTCCCTGCTTCCACCAAGATTTTTTTCCCCAAAGAATCTGCCACTTATTGCAACACACAAGCCAACTGAACTCTATTCCATGCCATCTATTGAAAGCCTCAGGTAGCTTAGCTTATTCAGCATTTGAACTAATGTGGTACAGCATGCCACTCATGTTCAAATTAGGTAGGTATGATGCAGATCAGCACAATGTCTCAAACACTTAGAAGGTGGGGGAGCAAAGAGAGGCAGGAAGGACAAACAAAACAAGGGTTCTTAGGAATGGTTAGCAAAGAAGAAAAGTATAACCCTATATTATTTCTTCCACTATACTATATTAAGCATCTGATTTTCAACTTTGTGACACCTGTTATGTGAATATACTAAGGTTTTGTTTCATATTCGTTCTTTAAAAGAGGCCATATCTACTCCCAGTGCCAGACATTAGCCTACCATAATGAAGAATATTATAAGCTATACTAGAACACCTGAACTTGTAGCTATCTTAAATACAGGCATATGACCACATACAGAGAGCAGGCCAAGGCAGTTAGCTGAATTTCACTGCATAAAGCTAACTTCTTGGAGACTGAACGGACACATGCTTGCAAATTGCTCTCCTCCTAGGATAAATCTCATTACTTCTCCAGTTCATTGTCCATCTTTACCTCTCCCTTAGCCCAAGAAAACAAACTATACACCACCTTCAGTTTTCATCATCGACTTTGAGTTCACTAAAGATCCTAACTGACATTACATTTCCTTATATTTTTCATTTTTATTTTCATAATGAACTCCTCGGGTGTGTGTGTGTGTGTTTTGTTGACATAATGAAATGAAGGACAGCGCTGGTTTCCTTCTTAGTTTTATCCCATATTCATCGCTGTTACTGTTTCCCTTAAGGTGGATTCATGAATACTGACATAAGACAATGCAAGAGTGGTCTGCAGTTCCTTTGCCATTTTCCTAGAGTTTTTGCAACCTCCTGCTTTGTTCTTATGGTGAGTTTTGGCTATTAACAAGGAAGATGAGTCAGATTCACCAGAAGTATTCATGTGGTAAGGGATAATTTTAAACACTACTGCGTGTTGGATTCATCCTCATGAAGATCTAGATCATCTGCACATTTCATCCTATTCTACTGAAAAATAAGTTACAGCTGTTTGAATTTACCTGTACTAGACTATAGGAGAATGGAGCTTCTCTAGATCTGGGGATTGGATCAGACTGGGCTATATGTGTAAAAAATTGGAACCAATAAGCCACTTTCCAGAACTCTGGATCTGTTCCTCAAAGCAGATTGGGTGGTCTTTATATTCCTCTACTGTTCACCTTTAATAACTATAATTCACAAAATACAACACAGTGCATTTAAGCTCTTTGCTAAGAAAATATTTATTAGGAATGAAATTTAACAGATAAAAACATGTAACATCCACTGGACCTCAAATATAGACATTAAAATTTTCCACAGAATTTCTTTAAGAAAGTACTCCAAAATGAGTGTAAAGGCTTTTTTGTTCATAAACTCAATTACACACAACCCAAAAAACCAACCCAACTCCCACAAACTTTTTAAAGGTCACAAGACATGAAAACAGCATTGTTCAAAATTGTTGTACCATATATAACAAGCCCTTAAAATAAAAGATGATCCATTTTCTTAAAAAGTTATTAGAAAATGTATTATATTGTAAGAACACTATCATATTAATTTATATTTTTGATAGACATTATATAATAAAATCTTATGAATAGAGGTACCTGTGTCACACAAGTATGCTACCATATGGAGAAGATTCTCTGTAGTAGTCTCTCACATATAAATCTACTAATACATGAAAATAAGATTGACACATAAGTGTCAATATGTGCTGATGAAAGTTGATGCCAGCATTTCCTTATTAAAATTCATTTCAAATAGTTTGTACATCATATGAACATTCAAGTAAACCAAGCTTTTTAAATTCCACAAGAAATTGAATTGTTCAGTGTATCATTTAAGGAATGTTTTCATTTTCAATATATTAAAATGATGATGAAACTACTTGATATTGGAAGAAACGCCTTCAGCTAGTAATTATTTCCTCCCCATTTATAAATTTAAAAAATCATTTGTATTCTATATGAAAATCATTAGTTATTCATCAACTAATTTGCATTTTTCACCTTAATACAGCATGCATTTCCTTTAATTAATATCAAACAAGTTTCATTCTTGAAAGGAACAAGACTTTTTTAAAACTCACACATCCTGGTTATTAAGGAGAAGGTGCCAAGATTAAGGTTACCCACTTTTTTGGTAACAGAATTCTTAGCCTCTAGCAGCTGCATAACAGGCAGAAATTTACAGATCAATCTTTCCCACTGGCAGTGTATCTATGTCAAGGTAATTGCCTACTGAATTTCTTCCTATCATATGCTTAAAGAAGAGGAGATCTGCCAAAGTAAGCTAACTCTCATACAGAAATTAGGCGAGATAAATGTAACAAGATTGCCATTGTCAAGCAACGGTATAAAGACAATCTTGTACATATATTATGGGACATCTGACTGATAATAATAGTAATAATAGCTTGAATATCCAATAATCTTGAAGTAATTGTATTTTCCTGACAGGATTCATGTACAGAATATATAACTGATAAGTTCCAAGTCCACTAAAGGGTCCAGTGTGACTATTATAAACTCACTCTGTTCCTAGCAACTAAGTCCATAAGATTTGATATTTTTTGGAGTGATCAGAGGCAAAGATAAATATAAGGGGGAAAGGAAAATTATATATATTTTTTACTCTTGCCTTTTCTTCCTAGGAAACTGCTTCAAAAGTTGGAGGATGGGTTTAAAGGAAAATCTATTTCAATTCCATCTCTTCCAATAGAATTCAATTTGGGAAGGCATCAAAAGACTTCACAAGTGTCAAAAGAAGTTTGTGTTTTTTTTAAAATCTTGCTAATATGCTCCTCTCTATTAGGTCTCTTCCCCCACTAACTTGAAAGGCAGAATAATGGCCAGAAAAATCAGCAGACACTGGAGAGTAAGAGATTTCTACTACCCCACCTCATCAGATTCTAGGTTAAAAGAAGTTCTAACTTTTTAATATTTTATCAGAAGAGAGAGATGTAACACAAGCCTTAAATCATCAGAATACCATCATTCTTCCCCTTCCCCCTATTTTAGGATTTGGTCTTGAATATGCGAAAAAATATCCCAAAGGCCAATGCCCTGGAAGGCTGATGAATATTACCAATGTACAGTGTTTTATGATGAAATAGCTTCTGAGCAAGCTGTTCTATTCGGCAGAGGATAAAAAAAAAGGAGTTATATGGCAGCTTCCCTTCCTTACAAAGTTTATTTCCAAACTAAGAGTGCAAAAATATTAAGAGAGGGGAAACTGAATGTTTGAAACTTGTTCAATGCCTGAAATTAAGTAGAAGATATGCTCCCCAAATCACTTATGCTTTAAAATATCCATGGCTGGAATTATACAGAATAGTGAGAATATTCTTTATACAGTTAGTACCCAATCACTCACTAGTTTTTGGTCAGTGGCTTCCATACTAGCAGGTAACTGGTTGCTTTAACATCCAGTTCATCATAACAGTACAGTGTAATAAAATCTATAAGTCAGTCATGCACTGTTTTGTATACCTGTATGAATGTGATAATACATGCAAGACACTGACAACTCAAGACATATGAAAGTAGCAATAGTTACAAAATTAGCAAAAATGTCACAGTGTTCTTACAGCCTTTACTTTGAAAACACAAGTGTACTACTTATACCCACTATTGCTCAAACAAGGTAAATTGTCTCTCAGCCATGCAAATCACTTTGAAAAGGTAAAGAAGCAAACATTTCTTGGCATATTTAGACACTGAGTGCAACTTGAATTTAAATTTTGATCCTATCAATTATCACTATTATTTTCCATTCTTCCAAGTGTTTTGCAGTAAACCTATTTTAACTCATTTATATTCTATATGCTATGTGCTCAAAGAACTAGCCAAATCTACAAAGCAAAATTTTGCAGATATCCAAAAATACTTGACAAACAGATGCTAGTGAAATTTGATATTCCCAATTTCTGGCATATTTTCTATATTTCATTCTCACTTTGAAAATGTTAACAATGCTGCACAGCTGTATCATTGCCTTTTAGAAATGTTTCATCAGAAATGTTTCTATCTGAGACATTAAGACTTGCTATTGACAGATAGTTTCTCACCCAAAATAAAACAAATCCACAATGTCATTTTATCCCAGTGTGCATGGTTCAATTTGACACTACATCATTACAGCCAACATTAACCCATAAAACAAACTCACTTCACTGTCACACGCAGTTGGAAAAAGCCATCTATCTGACACTATGCCTTTTTGTAAGAAAAGAATCCAGCTTCTCCTTATTTTATAAATAACTTGTTAATCATAATCACCAAACTTTAGCTATTAAACAGAATTCAAGTTTAGAAAAATGAATAAATTAGTTACAGCCTTGTAAACAATGAGCTTTTATGATTTATATATATACTTTAAAAATTCTCTGAAGATAAATCAGACATTACAAGGCACACGTTACACTCAAGAATTCAAAATGATAAAAAAAGCAACTATTTCAGTCTTCTTTGCTGGCAGAATTGTGCTGTAGGGTACTGAAAAACATAAATATAAATTTGTTTATACTACAGCCTTCCATGGCTGCAATCTCTCTTGTAAAATATTTGTGCTATTTAATAGTGCTGTAAGAGTTGAAATATTTGAAATTAGTTTTCTTAGATACTCTCCACAAAGCTTCCAGGGAAAAGGCCAGTTTTTCCATTTCGCTGCAATGTGCCTTTGAACCAGCCATCTTCACGCTTTTTATGTACAAAAACAACATCTCCTTCTTTAAGTTCAAGTTCAGCTTCGCTCTGAGGAGGATAGGATACCACTACTCTGTATCTGCAGAATAAGATTTTTTAAAACATTTAGACTCCCACTGTTTGAAAACAGCATCCCACTGTTTAGAAAAAAAGTCAAATGTATCAGAAAGTTTCTTTGAACTATTTATAATTATAAATAAATGATTAATCATTAGACTGATTCATAATGATATTAATCTAATGATAATTTTTCAGGGCAATTAAGTCTATTAATGCAGTAATATCAAGTGAAATATACATCTCAATTTCATTGTGTTCTTGATAAGAAATAAATATTAGAATAGTTTGAAAGTTAATATAATTTTGTTCACCAGAACAGAGAATAGTTTAAAATCCAATACCAGATAATTAAAATTTACTTTTAAAACATATAATTAGCAAATATGACCAAGATATATTGGATGGACTCATTATGTTATGTGATAAAATGAATGAGTTCACTGAAGGATCAGAATTAATAATAACAGAAAACTAGTGCTTTGTATCTCTTTCCTGGTTATTAATGTGCATTTTCATTTTGTAAATAAATTTTCCCCATATCAATTTATATCCCAACAGGAATTTGCTGCAAATTCCATTAGGATTTGCTTCAGGTTTCGAGTAAGAGAAATAATATTGTGCTATGCCTGATATTTTGCCCTTGAAAGTAAGCAGTGTCATCAAATATTTCTTTCTTTTATGAAAGGTACTATTCTTCCTCTTATCCCAGACATAAAAAAATCATAATATAGAGTTTAGTAAATTATAATTGTTTTCTACATTCTCTTTGCTTCATCCACATTATACAGTGAACATAAAAGTGCCTTGGGAGGATTACATGAAATAAGAAAATAGAAGAAACCCTTAATTTAATGGATCTTGAACCTTTATACCTTTGATTTAGCTAACTTTAGAAAAATCATGTACATATACTGAATGTTTCTATGCATTTGTAAAATGCCATTTGCAAATACATATGCATAAAATAAAATGCACAGGTAAAATCCCATTCCCATTTACTTTTTATATATAAGTAACATGCATAAAATCCAATTTCTATTTTACACTTCTGCAAATTTTGCTTTAATGGAGAGCCCTTTCCTCCCACTATCTCTGTCTTTGATTTTCTGTGTCACTACAGCTTATATGCTCTTCCATTTCCAGAGATTATGAACAGCTTATAGTATTACTATAAGATTAAAAACAAAATCAATGCCTTTCCGAAATGTAATAAGGAGGGGGGTGGCCCAGGTATCTTGAGGCAAGCTGTTCCAGAGAAAAGGGACATCACCAGAAATCAGTTTAGTTAAGAGTTTACTATAGTGTAGAGGAACTGATTCACTGAGTCTTCCCAGTAGCATATGTGCTTGTTTGTATGTGTGTATATATGTATGTGTATGTGTATGTGTATATACAGCTTGTCCGTGTTTAGCAACCACAACTGGGACTGGCAACTTTGTCGTTAAGCAAAGCAAACCATGACTGTGCTTATTATCTTTGCTTTACAGACCTGTGAAGGTTGTAAATGTGAGGATTGGTTGAAAAGTTACTTTTTCATCACTGTTGTATGTGCAAATAGTTGCTAAACAAGGCAGTTGCTAAATGAGGACTACTCGTGTGTGTGTGTACACACACACATATACATACATATGCATATATATAAAATACCACATACCAAAAAACCCCATTCTTGAATAAGCATAAAAAATTAGTAAGATGCTATCACTACAACTGCATATGCAAATGAACTTCACATATTTAAATTGGTTTCAGTGCATCTTAACTGTAAGCACATAGGCTTACAATAAAGCAGTTGTGTAAAATAGGCATAATCTTTCACATGCTTTCCGGCTAAAATATTACCAATTTAATTATACTGCTATTTTTACCAAAAGTATTTCTCCAAAACAACTGGACTATGTACACCTTATTCTCAAGGAGGCAACTATTTTCTAGATAAAAGACTGAAAGAAGAACCATTTTTCATGATATAAACATACATTCTGGTTCATCCAGATGAGAGGATTAAAGAGGTGCTCATCAAATTTACGGATGACACAAAGCTGGGGGGAACTGCTAACACTTTGGAAGATAGATTCAAGATTCAGAAGGATCTTGACAGACTTAAGCATTGGGCCCTATCCAACAAGATGCAATTCAGTGGAGAGAAAGAAAGGTCCTATACTTAGGCAGGAAAAATCAGATGCAGGTACAGAGTATGCAGTACCTGGCTCAACAGTAGTGCTTATGAGAGGGATCTAGGTGTCCTGGTGGACCACCACTTAAGTATGAGTCAGCAGTGTGCTGCAACTGCCAAAAAAGCCAGCACAGTCTTGGGCTGCATCAACAGAGGGATAGCATCAAGATCAAGGGAAATGATAGTACCACTCTACACTGCACTGATGAGGCCACACTTGGAATACTGTGTCCAGTGCTGGACACCACAATACAAAAAAGATGCTGAGGCCCTAGAAACAGTGCAGAGAAGAGCAACAAAGATGATAAGGGGCTTGGAGGCTAAATCCTATGAAGAATGGCTAAAGGAACTAGGCATGTTTAGCTTAACAAAGAGAAGACTGAGGGGAGACATGATAGCAGTCTTCCAATACTTGAAGGGCTGCCATAGGGAAGAGGGCATTTATTTATTCTCCATAGCACCTGAGGGTAAGACAAGAAGCAATGGGTGGAAGCTCATCAGAGGGAGATCCAACCTGGAAATAAGGAGGAA